GCCATCGGCAAATCCAAAATGGCCGCCCCCTACGTGCGTCGGCATGGCGCGTCAGCCATTTCTGCCTATGTGTTTCCCATGTGCGGCACTTCGTATGTGCTGAGGAGTTCGTCATCTAGTAGTGCATTAGCATTGACGGCGTGGAAGGGCCGACTCCAAAAACTTGAGTGCACCACGATGCCGCTTTTAAAAGAAAACTCATCGCGTGTGCAGAAGCGGACGGAAATCGGGCCGCATCGCGGTCGTTCGGAGTTCCAGAAACGTGTGTGCGGGATCGGCGGAAACAAAAGCAGAAGGTTGTCGACAGCAAAGCTTCACGCAAAGGCTTCAGTGGACCACAGAAGGGTCGGTTTCCGCAAATTAAAGAGCTGCTCGGCGAGTATGTGCTTGAGGAGCGAGCGGCAGAGCGGCCCGTGACGACAGAACCGCTCCAAGTGCGGGCTATGCAATTAGTCTTAGAAAAAGGTCTAATGCGGAGCCAGTTTAAAGCGAGCAGGTGCTGGCTAACTAACTTCATGAAGAGGAAAGGCTTTTCCTTCCGAAGGGGAACATGCATATGCGAAAAGTTTTGCGGAAGAGTACGATGAAAAGCTTCACAGTTTTTAAGAGGTTCGTCCTAAACTTGCGGCGCAACAACGGCTACCTGCTTGGGCAAATCGGGAATGCCGATCAGACGCCTCTTTACTTCGACATGCCTGGCACCCCAACCGTCGAGAAGGGGGCGAAGCAAGTTCGCGTGCTGGCATCGGTCCACGGTAAAACTACAGTGACGGCAATGCTCCGTTACACGTCAGATGGGCACAAGCTTCGCCCGTACCTCATATTTAAATGGAAGACGCTCCCGAAAGGAGTCGTTTTTTCGAGTGGTGTGATCGTGCGGGCCAGTGAGAAAAATGGGTGCGCGTTGCAATTGATGTCTTACGTTTTTTTTTTTTTTTGCGGTGGAAATCGGGTGCGCGTTACAATCGAGGGCGCGGTAGAATCGAGTAAATACGGTAAGTGCCGTCTGCACTTTTTTACGCGTGAACAAAACAAACTGCTTCGTGCTGGTGGTCGCCCATCCTGTCCGGCCAGAGGAGGGAGAAAACCAGGGGCATAAATTTTTTTTTTCAGTGATCTTTTTTGTGTCATTCACTCTATCTCCCAACTTTTCATCCACAGTTTCATCCACGCAGATTTAAATAAACTCTATGTACCTGAGCTCATGGCAGTTTGGAATTCTTGACAATTGCCAGTAATTGCAGCAAAAAAATATGCCGAGAATTTCACCCACATTTCCTTGCAAGGCGCAGCGTTGTTGCATAGTTCAAAATGTTACCCACTGCTAGGTAAGTGGCACACCAATTTATCTCCGTTAGGCAGAAATATTTCGCACATAAAAAGCTGAAAAAAATTGAAAGAGATATCTAAGTGGACAAAAAAAAGAAAGTGTTCGGTTTAAGCCCGAAAGCGACTATACAGAAATCGAGAAATGTAAAAAATGTCACGAACACATCCATCACTTGACAGATACTCTCAGTCAAAACATTGCCAGCAATCAATGACGTGGGCAATTCGACAACGCGCATTATGTACAATATTGACAATACTAATCACTGCTATGATTTGTTAGCGAGAACACGGAGAAGGAAAATATCTGAAGAAGTGTATTTGACGGCAAACGCTTCTGCGAACGCGCACCTGCCCTACCAAGCACGGCAGATCAATGCCCTCCTGTATACGGTGGCGCCTCTGGTGGCCACTTTTGTCCCTATATGAAACTTTCGCGGGAGTTTCATGACCAGTAAAAAGTATTGAGGGACCATGGTAATTCCTTCAAATTTTCAATATGTTTCACCCCATCACACTTGCGTATTACGTCAAAGCTGCTTTTCAAGCTTTGCTAGAGTCGCAAATGTATTGACGCGAGAAAACGCTGGTTCCAACGCGGAGATGAAAGATACGACAGAGGTGGAGGCTCAATTATTGGTGTTTGGGACCTGAAATTCAGGCAACACTTCGGTTGCCCCAAACGATGCACATAAAGACAATTCAGCCTCTGCACTGCCTCGTTTTTCAGAAGGCAACTATGAAACACCACTCCCAACAGGATTTCGTCAACCTAGCCAAGAAAAACACTTTCAAGTTGTTATCTCATAAGAATATGCTTAGGTATCCTCTCCGCCATTTTTCTGAAATTTCGCATCAAAGTATTAGTTAAATATTAAGAAATATCCAAAAAATACCCAATTTAGTTGCATTTACACTTCAATATTTGAATTCGCTTCATGCCCATAATTTTGCTATTCGCACAGCTCTAGTATAAACCATTTCTAAGCACAAAGCTGGTTCCATGAAGGTGCTTTGTAGATGAAGGAGCATGATATATGAGGCGTTCTTTTTTTTTTTTTTTTTGACAATACAGATCTTTTACACAAATGTTATGCCAGTCAGGAACCCGCGACCTTCCCACACCAGGTCTATGTCAATGTGAAAATACTTTGCTGCACATAAAGTGTGAGGGCAGCTGTTTATATTGATACACCTCACACGCCTCAAGCCGTAACGTCGTCAACCTTCCTACTAACTCACCAAGTGGGCATCGTCTGCGAACAGGGAAATGACACATCTCGATGGGCGCATGAAGAAGACAAGGTCGAAGCGGGACTGGCTCACGAGCAGCTCGGTCTCCTGTCTGGCTATGAGCATAGCTCTACCTCTCACAATGATTCTATTGCGTAAATAAACGCGTTCCATCATCACGGTATGAAAAAAGTTATAGGACATGAGAATTCATGCCATATTCACTTTCTAGAAATGCCCAAGAACACACTTAAATACAGGTATTATGCATAGAAACTGAAGGCTCTGATTTAGGCAATATCAAAGATGAGCGCACCGGGTGCCCAGAAAATGCCCCTGCTGAGTAACGTCAGCATGAACCATCACGGGACTAACTTTGAAAAAAAAAAAAAAAAAATTTGTGCACTGCAGCTTAACGTGGCCAGAAAAATGACCAGTTGTCTCAAACACAATCGCACTACTTATTTATTCCGGGTGAGGCTCTGTGCTTATCAAACTCTGAACCAAATGAAGCTTAACTTCAACCTTTTTTTTTTTTTTTTTTTGCTGTCAGTGTAAAAGAGACTGCCACTGTCGCTCTTCTTCTCACAGACAAGTAAAAAAGTTCTTCATGCGTATTTCGAGCTTAAGAAAGAAACGGAAAAGCCCTACCCAATAAACACAAAGAATAAGTAGTCCCCTTGTTCATTACAGACAATTTTAAGTTTCCCTGACCAGATTCTGCTCCGCAATGCCTCTTTTCAAAATTCGCCATGTGAACTTGCAGTTTGTTGAAACCCAGCTGCTGCATTTTCTGAGCAACCCGTGCACTCAGTTTTGATATATCTTGGATCAGGGCCTTCCATTTCGATTACTCATATTCCGAAATTCATGCATTTTTTGGGATTAACCAAAAAGAGATATGTGACAAATTGTCATGTCCTACAACTTTTCTGTATCTAAAACTGTCCTCATACAAATATTTAAAAAGCTATAATTAATGCATATTCATTAATATTTCCATTGGAACTTTACGTGCAGTAAAGTACTTCCTCCTCAATGTAAAATTTGTGTGAAGATGGCAGGTATTTTCATTCATAGTATCTTTAATTTGTGTTCTGATTTGTCTCAAATACTATCCTCTATAAGTAAGACTGTGAAAAGCCAACTCCGGCAATTTTTTTACCATGTCAGAGTAATTGTGTTCCTGCCTTCCTGAGACATTCTTGTCACGTGCCTTATAGCTGAAATGCTCACCTCGAAAATTATTTTAAATAAGCAAAAAGCCGTAATATTGAAACCTAACCAAACCGAGTGCACTGTCTACGTATGACGCACTGCTTGGTAAGGACGGGATATCGTGCAAGGCATGCCGGTTGCGCCAGTGCCGAGTACGAAAACTGCGAAAGCTGGGGAGCCCAGACACCCAGCTGTGATAGATTGTTCCAGATGCACAAGCTTCATGGAGCTGTTAGACAATGACAGCTACAATTAGGTCAAATTTGGAGGTCCATGAGCACTGCCATTCTTCTTCGATAAAGCGGAACAGATTTTTGCATCTGCTTGCCTGGTTGCACGTAACGCCAACAGATGGCACCACTTTCCAGGCTGTCCAAGTTTGTGACTGCGGCGATGTACCTGCGGCTCACGTCAAAAAGTTCATCGTCAATCTGAGACCACTAATATTATCATCGAAAGAGAGCATAAGTTTGAGGAGCGCAGTATGACTTATCTGAGATTGATTATTAACATGAGCCGAGCAAGTACCTTTCTCACGATGTGCAGCTTACCATATACCGACAGATGCTGTCATAGTAGATCCGGCATTCGTAACGAAAAGTGTTTCAGTACGTTGAAGCTCATGCATGTGCACTCTTTAACAGGCATGATATTAACAGCACTTTCCGTGCGGTATCCTGGCAGTGCTAGCTAACACACCCCACTATCGAGACGAAGTGCAGTCATCAGTTGTGAGTGTTTAGGGGCTGTTATCGTATGTGACCCACAACACAAACCACTCGTCCACCGATCACACACCCACCCACATGGAAAAAGAAATCACACGATCAAACAAGGATGTGCCGGCCAAAGACCCGATCCACAGCAGACGCTACAGTGGCACCTAAGTTCCGTCACTTTTGTTGCCTTGCAGAGCTTGACATTACACACACAATGTTGCCAATAATTCTGGCAAGTCAAGTGAGCGTTTTGGGGCTAATCTATAGAATTATTTCAAAACAACCTGCTAAATTCTCTAGCCTGCAATTTGGCATAAACGAGGTAAATGCAAAAATGAATGCAAACCCTGAAATTCATTGAGGTCCAATGATCTCGAAAAATCGCCGAAGTTGGCCTTTAATAGTTACATTCATGAGTTTTATTTATAGTTTTCTAAAGGTCATCTTGGGCATATCGCTATTTAGAACATGTGCGACAGGAGTCACAGCCGATATACTTACAAGGGTAGCTGGCAACCTTGGGTGCTGCTCTCGACAGTGCCCTCAGCAGTGTTGATTTGCCGGCATTAGGGAAACTGCAAAAATATGACGGTAAGAGTGAACACACTTCAATTGTACAGTCTATGTAAACACTAACGGGTTGGTAAGCCAAAAAATAAGGCTATTTGCATACAACTACAATGCGGAAATCCCCCTCATTTGACCAAATATTTGGACACACTGCCTTCCTAGTTTAGCAGTCATTGTGCCTCTATTGTTTAGATATTTTCACATGCCGTAAGTAGCTTGAAACCATAGGAAGCCTGTGTACGGCGCAGGTACATAATGTTATCGATTTCATCTGTATCTATCTGCACGGCAAGTTACACGTTAACGTATATTACGGGCCTTGTTGGTGTAGCATGTTCATAAGGTTAAGTGCGGCACTGAACTGATGAGGACGGTTACAAGCGAGGTTTTTTAGTAACAAGACCAGTAAGCGACACTTCATAGAACATGAAGATTTGATTGAAACGACGGGCTGAAAGACATTTTTCCTTTACAGAGCGTCTACAAGATTGTCAGCACACAAGTTTGAACAATACACTTATTATCAAGGTCCTGACACTGTGATTATAAATCCAAATTCAACACCAAGGTCAGAACTAAAAGCTGCACTCGATTGTCAACTCACTGGGGGCCCTTTTGTTTCCAGATGTCTTTCATGAACCAAAATAGTCACAGTTTCGGCACAAGGCCGAAGCAATGAATGCGATGGCAATAAATCACAGTCTTATACGAAGTAAGGCTAGGATATTTAGGAACCATACGAAATGTACTGAACAAGGTCGAATGTGTGTTGAGCTGCAGCGTTCCTCCTCTGTTCTTTCGGTGTATGGGCACGTATGCGAGCCCGCCTTGCTTCAGTGCAACTAGCATCCCATTAGAGCTGTTCCGCAGGTGTTCGTACAACACAAAAATACCACATGCGATGACATCACAGAGGCTGAACTACACACAGCATTTTGACCAGCGTTTGACTGGCGTTTCATTCTTTGGTGTCAGTCGATGATGACACCAGTGACAGTAGCAAAAAGTACAGTTCTAATGCACTTCACCGAAACCTCCACCACAGGTTGTCCCAGACATTGCTTTGTGGGCGTCAATGCCGAAAGCAGCCGGATGGTGGGAGAAGCTTGCTCGCTTGCTTTTACCTTCATATTGTGATAACAAGAAGTAAGATACAACGGCGGTATGCTGGGCCAGCTGTTCTTATTGTCCTTTGTCTTTCTCTTCTGCTTCGAGCAAACTTCTGCACGCCAGAACCTCGATGTCGATCTTTGTCGTTATACTTGGCTATGACTGCAAGTACATCAAGTTCTGGTCGGTGGGGCTGGCTGCATCCCAGTGGTCTGTCTTGGCCATGCTGCGACTTGGCTCGCGGATTTATCATAAATGTGTCTGGTGGGCAGCACTGGCTATTTCGTAGTGCTCGCAGGTCTCGGACGTGCTATGAACTGGCTTGGAATGCTACCAACGGCGATGTTTCTGGTTTGTGGCACTGACTGCATCGTTGTGGTCGCACGGTTGACCTGTCCGCATGCAGTTTGTGGTCGCACGTATGATCTAGTTTGTGCTTTTCTTTCACGTTTACACCAGGAGTCAGTACATACTGACTGAGGAAGGACGCTAACTGAGCTTGGACTTTTCTGCACATCCCGCCAAATTTAACACAGGTACCCAAAGGCTACCTCGGTTGTGGTGCTTCTCCCTCTGAACTTGTCAATGCCCAGTCGATCAGTGACGGATGCTGTGCAAGAACGTTCAATGTTGTCCACGCAGCCTGAAGGCAATACAGTAGCTGTCTGAATGAAGTGGTGGTTCTGGGGAACGAGCTCACACGCCAGAGGCCATGAATGACAGAGATTGTTTTTTTCTGGCTGGGGCTTGTGGGTGGTCTTGCGTGGCTCAAGAGATTCAATGAAACTTTCGTTGTAGCGGCTACTGTCTCTATCTTCAGCGCCGAGGTCATGTCCCTCATGATTTAGTCAGCAAGCCTATGCATAGGTGCTTTGGGCTTGATTAATATGTGAAGTTCAATGTCCCAAAACCATCATATAAGAGACGCCATAGTGAAGGGCTCCGGAAATTTCGACCACCTGGTGTTTTTTAACTGTGCACCCAAATCTGAGCACACGAGCCTACAGCATTTTCGCCTCTAACGAAAATGCAGCCAGGATACGATTCCCCGACCTGCAGATCAGCAGCCGAGTACCTTAGCCCCTAGACCACCGTGGGAGGGCTCGGTGCTTTGGGCTCTACCAGCACCTTCACTGTAGGGCTGTCAAGCATGGGGGATCTGGCATCTGCACATGCCTCAGCAAAGGTAAATCCAAAGCCGGCTTGTCAAACTTCACTGTCTGAAGAACGACCTCGGCCTCTTGCGATGATGTTATGACGTCGAATACCGGCAAAGAGGCGGAGTACAGGTTCAGCGTTCGACGTCGACTTTAAGGCAGCAGGGGAAGCATTTTGTTGTGGGGCTCGAGAACTCCGATGGCCCATCGAGCTGGTGCACCAGTGGAGCTTGATGTCTGAGAGGGGGCACGTTGGTACAGGGTACAGCTGCCGCATCAGGATGGTGCCCCTCACGATCTCAGGTCTTCGCGAGAGGGCACGATGATAGAAGCCCGAGCTGCGCGATCGTATTTGTGCGTCTCGCAGCTCTCCTGGGTGGTAGAGACTTGTTCAGTAGAAAAGGGGTCGCAAGCATAAAAAATTGGGCGGAAAAGGCTAGTTAACTTAGCGCACCACCCCGGACCACAATTGCTACCAGATGCCTTCTTAAGCATGCCATGCCTTAGCGGCACCGCAAAGGTGGTCGATAGCCACCAGCCATTTCCCATGCTCCGGCCAGCCATGATAGATGCCAAGTGAGTTGATGGTTGACAACCACTCGAAGACGTCCTGAAAGCCTCAGAACATCATCACTGCCCAAACAGCTGACAGAAGCACAGCGGCAGGCGAGCACCCGAAGTTCATACAAGCGGTCAAGCTGCTGCGATAGTTGCTTGAGTGCACACATGTGCTTCACGTCATTAGCAGATGAGGCTTTCGATGAGCCCTGGACGGTATTCCTGAACATACCTGTGGGGGCCCCGGTACTCACCGGGGTGTCACAGGACATGCACGAAGGCGACGCCAAGCTGGCCAGTTGTTGTGACAGGTGTGTGGCAGCGCGCATGATCTGTGCTGCCTCGCTGAGTGAACCGCCCGAGCAGCTCTTGGCGACGGCAGCAGTATATGTCGTCATCGCAGCAATTAGTGCGGCAGCAATGTCCTCGGTCCTGAAAGCGGAGTACGCAGCCGTCCCGAAACTCAGAATGGTGGGATCCATTGCCGAAGAAGCATGGACGGTGTCCCATGCCGTAGACAGGTATGGGTGCAGTAGTCAGGAGCGGCTGAGCAGGCCTAGACGCTATCCCCGAATGGTGGTAGCAGTGGTAGCAGGTGATCAGGTGCCAACAAGGCCTGGATGCCATCCTCAAGTGGCACTTACCGCGGCTTCACGTTGGTGGGTGCCGTTGACGAGGAATCGAAGATGTAGAATTTCGTTTTCATCAACCGCCCCTTTATAATAATGAGAACAAAGAGACAACGCCTGTTCGGTGGGCTGGTTGTTCTGGGCGTCTTCAGCGCCGAGACCATGCGCCTGATGATCTTGATCAACCAAGGACAGAGATGAATGGCTTGAGCTTTCGCATTGACGGCAATGAAGAATTTCAAGGCGGCAGCTGTCGTACGACCAAATCGGAAGATAGGCACCAATGGGAAAGTTCAGAAATTATTATCTTCCTTAAACAAAAAATGTAATGATAAGATTTGCCATATGGAAAGAACTGCTTATTTGGTTTTGATTTAGGTATAAAGGTGATTTTTAATTGGAGCCCCGCATGGTCCAAATTATGTCTCAATACGAACAAAAATGACAATATTGCGAAATTTGTGATTTTTTTTCTCATAAAGTTTAGCAGCTTGAAAGGTCTAAAAATATTTTTTTCTCTAAATATACCTTCTATGGGGGAAGTATTCACTATTCAGGTATTCGCAGATATTCGTACAAAGTGCAGTATTACAATAGAAAAGAATGCAAATATAACATATTTTGGCTAAATCCTTGATGCTGCCAGTAAAATTGCACAAATATTACTGAGCTTCAAACACCTTACAAAAGCACCTTTACTTAACATGTAGACCAAATTTGGTATAGAAAGAAACGGTACTTCCAAAATAAACTTTTCCACAAACAGCACCCAAAATGACACTCCAGCAAGTTCAGAAGGCAGCCCCGTGACCGAAAAAATCACAGCATATCCACGAACTGAATGATGATGAGTGGGGCGAAGCGTCCGCCACTCTGTCCGCGCTTCCGTGCGTCTGCCCCTGAGTTCGTCTGTGCGTCCGCCCCTGCGTGCATTCCATCGGTGCATCTGTCGGTCCGTCCGTCGGTCTGCGCGTTTATCCATGTTCCTGTCTGCCCGTCCGTACATCTAGTGAACACTCCAAGTACCGCAATCTCGAATCTTTTCATCATACATTCATCATATAGACGTACCACTATCCAGCGGACATTTCAAAAACTAAAACTAGAGGTGGCTACCTACTACTACTACTACTACTACTACTACTACTTCATAAATCACCGACGCACGACCCACGGCATAAGGAACTTCAAATGAAAGCACCCTCTAGCCGTTAGTATAACATTTTCTTTTGCTTGTTCATCATAAAACTCCATGCACACCATCTGATTTATAACATCTGTATTGGTTTATTCCACCAACAACTATCACCTAGCGGCGAATCCTGAAACGAGGTGACTACGTGCTTCATATATCAGTGACGACCTACCCACACCTTAAGGAGCTTCCCTCCTAAAAATTTTTTCTTTCCGAAATATTCTAGCAGTTTACTGTTCTCAATGCAGTAAATCAGCGCGATTCTCTTTGAATGCGTTTGAGATGGTTGCCAAAATGGCTGGGATGTTCGGCATGGAATGACCCAGATGAATAAGAAAACATGTAGAGCAAATCAATTGAACGGAATATTGGGTGCTTGGGTACAACATGAGTATTACACACTAATGTTCAGTGAACTTTCAATGCCGAGCTGCGACGGCAAGTCTCCTCACCCCACAAAGCCCACATCTGCGATGAGCTTTAGGTTGAGGGTGATGTTGTCGACCTCGCCCTTCTGTCCGTGGTACTGGTTCCTGGGGTTGCCTCCCTGGCCCCCTCGAACCACCAAGATCTTGTCATTAGGTTTGATGAGGTCCCCTGCATGTGATGGCAGTTTGATGATGTAAACATATTGGAAAGGGCACATGCACACAGAGAAAAAAAAAGTGCATGTTAAACTTTACCAATAACAATACTAGGCTTGTACGAATAGCAAATTTTAGGTTCGAAGCGAATTCAAAGTAATCGATGACCTGGTGGAATAATTTTCAATCCAATTCAAGTACTATATATCACATATAATAAATGAAAATGAGCATATTTGTCATGACCCAAGTAAACTGCACAATATTTAAAGTGAAACAAGACACGTGGGAATGTCATTATTTATGGTTGAAATGAAAATGGAAGAAACTGTGAATAGTAGCAGAATTTGACTTTCTGTACAATGCAAGCTATAGCCTGTAAAATACATTATATTTTAAAATTTACTATGCTTCTAGCATAAAAGCTAGTGTAACAAGCATTTCAACTTAAAAACTGAAGAATCAATGTGATGATACTATCTATGTCTATTTAACTTTGAAGATTTTGCCGCGATTGGTGTATTTACAGTGTAACACCGCTCAACTGCAGTTCAAATATTCCAAGTGCTCAAATATTCGCAAAAGCCAAGCAATAACACAAAAAATGCAAACATCGGGTCTAGTCAGATGCAGTAACCTTGCACGGCAGTCAAGAGTTGCCTTATATATATCTCACTACTTCGCCTTTCTGCATATAACATTGCCAGCATTTTGCTCAAGCAGACAACCTACAGATTCCTATGTATACTGCAATTCCTTTTTCAACATTCCCAGAATCTTCCTTCCCGGCACACTGCATACTTTTAGTGCAGTGGATGTACTGAAAAGGTGTGTCAGTTACTTTGACACGGTGGACTGCCACCAGGTTAACCAAGTGCCCAAAAAAGAGTCTCCTTCTGGAAGTGGCATAAAAGAAGTGGCAGGTTTCCACTAAAGAATTTTTTCGAGGCTTAAACTGATGAACAAATTCTTCTGAAGTATAGTTGTGTGCAATGTGTCTGTTTTAATAGTCAATCACACTTTCTTTGGATTTTGACAACGTGCTCATGTAAGTTGCCTGGCTACAGCATAATTTGGTTTTCTGTTTCCGTGAAAAAAATATCCGAGAGGTACCACTGTCCTACTAGAGGGACACCTAAGATCAGAAAGATTTTTAGTGTATTAGTGAAGTACAATTTCCCAATTGCGAAAACACTCCTTTTACTGCGAGGGGACACACGGTGGTCGAACAAACGTGCGAAAAGAAAATGCGGGTGGAAATGACAGCTTGAGATTCCCGCACCAAACACTATGACGTCACAGATTTCGAAGGTGTCTACTGTGGTCCTAATAGTTTCTAGTTGGTAAAAATGAAGCACATTGTTATCTGTGGGTCCTGTAGACTTAACATATATACACCAAGTTTCAGAAAACTTCACAGAGCCTATATCACGGAAATACAACAAATACGTATTGAAATTTGTGATATCATGTGTATAGACTTCGGCATGAAATTTTGTAAAAAATTAAACTTCAGCATTGATTTTCTCGGCAAATAATGAACTCATGATAGTGAAACTTGTGACCTTAGAGTTAGTTAGTGCAGTTTATCAACCTAAGCCAAGTCCCTGCTTCACTTTGGTGTCCCTTCAAGATAACAATTGTATGCCTAACTTGAATGCACATCATAGCTTGTGTTGAGGATGAAAATGAAGTTGAGAGAAAGGAAGATCACAACAAGAAAGCACAGCCTACAGCGAGTTGCGTGGTTGGGTCTCCAAACATACTTGTTGTCAACCACGTGAAATGCAGGAGCAGCTGCTCCCCATTTGTTACAATCTTCTCAGATATCCTAGAATCACACATGCAAGTTAACCCTTGCAGTGTTGTTGCTGTACGTGCATAGTAGCTGTCTTTTGTCCTGCAGTGTTTTCGCTACTCAGGTATATTAAAGCAAAAGAGATTATACATACATTAAAGTGAACATACTAAAGCCAGAAAAAAATTACTGCGTAGGAGTAATTTGCCAGTTCATAGTACTAAAAACGCCACCCATACCACAAAAAATACACAAAGAAAGAAGAAAATACACGGAAAAAAAATTGGGCAGGCGAAGGCACCGTGAAATTCCCGCAACAAAACACCACAACATAAATGGTTTTCACAGTGTCGACTAGGTGATACATATTTCCCGATGATTAAAAATAAAGTACATTGTAATTTGAGGAGACCACTGACTTCACATAGTTTTGGAAAATTTCATGGAGGCAATGCTACCAAAATACGAAAAATACACTTCTAAATCAGTAACGTTGCATGGTAGAATCCTCGAGTGAAATTTGAAAACAACACTTCTGCCTCAACTTTCTCCTCTAATAATAATCGTATGATGGTGAAGTTGATTACATTACACTTGTCACAGCACAACTTATCAATCTGTTCCGATTCACTGTGTAAATTTAATGTCCCTTTAAGCAACAACAGCAGCAGCAGCAGCAAGCTGTGTAAATCACTGTTGCTGAAGCTATGCTGCGCGAAAATCACGGTGTCTCATATGTCGAAGCCAAAGTAAGATTACGAGACAACACCATAGTAAGAAACTGTGGATTAATTTTGATGACCTGGGGTTCTAATGTGTGCATATTTCTCGGCGGAATGCTGGTGGTGTATAGCTATGATGAAAAAGTAATCAATGGTGTGGTCTGCCAAAAAGGTAAGGTTGGGACAGATTACAGAAACACATCTTGTATACATATAATGTAAATTACATATATGAGTACTAAGGAATTATAATGCTTCATGTAAAAGATGTTATGTTTTAAAAAATAAATTTCGTGAATTATTTTGACATGTTTGCAAAAGTCTGAGATATTTCGGGCAGTTCTAAAACAGCCACCTAGTATACTCCAACAGTGTGAGAAGTTGTTGACACAACTTCACTACAACTCATAGATGCATCGCTTGCATTCTCGTAAATTTGAGAAATATTTATTTTGAAGAATCTAGAACTCAGGCATGTGAATTTTGTTTTGCCTTTTGACATTTTGCTCCTCCTAACTGTACAAGGCTTCGATGTTTTGACCACTCAGGTTGCATTGTAAATGTAGCGAAATGACTTGTCGCCCAGACGTGAAAGAGAGACGTCCATTTATTGCCAATTCTAGCGGTGAACTGCCTCGAGCACGTGCGCGTGCCACGATTCGCTCTCTGACTCCTCGTCTTCCATAGAGTGGGGCACGCTCCAAGTTGCTCCGTTATTATTTTGCAACATCCTCCCAGGGGGCCCAAGATGAATCACACACGTCGAAGGTGAAACTTACGCGGTAGCAATATAACCAGGCAAAGATAGATGGGCGGCTCGCTGGCATGTTTTCCGCTGGCCAACTGCAAGGTGTTGGCGATGTAAAACCTTGCGTTCGTCATCGACTGCGGTCAAAATTCAGCTTCGGTCAAATTTTCGCCTGCGGTCGAAATTCGTGAAGGACCCTCCGTCTCACCTCCGAAGGTCCTTCCTCCTGGGTTTCGGCACCAAAACGTTGAAGAAAGGACGAGCCGTTGTGCTCATGGTGAAGCCCACCCGTTGACCTCTTCTTTGTTCCGAACACTGTTGTGATCTTAATGATAATATCACCCACCACTCCTCGTCTTCTACAAAATTTTCAACAGTAAAAACGATAGCCAAATTGTTGGAACCCAACTTACAAAGACAATATAATATTAATGCCTTAATTTTATGTCCCCAAACCATTTTATAATGATGAGGGACGCTGTAGGGGAAGGCTCAGGTAAGTTTGATGATCTGATGTTCTTTTAATGTGTACAGACATCAGCGCAGTACACTGGCCTCAAACATTCCAACTCCTCCAAAATGCGACCACCATGACCGGAATTACAATTTACAATGAATTGTCAATTATTCATAATTGTAAAAAAGAGAGCAGGCCGAAAATGATAGTTTCAATGATGTTTAGTGAGAGAAGTTGTTGATGAGGCTAAAAATGATGTTTCGCCAGTAGTACAATACTCAAGAATAGGTGTCAGGACAGACAGTCCTGATTAGAACACGATTTATATGTGGGGTTTAACGTCCCAAAACCACCATATGATTATGAGAGATGCCATAGAGGAGGGCTCCGGAAATTTCGACCATTGGGGGTTCTTTAATGTGCACCCAAATCTGAGCACACGGGCCTACAACATTTCTGCCTCCATCGAAAATGCAGCTGCCGCAGACGGGATTTCGATCCCGCGACCTGCGGGTCAGTAGCCAAGTAACTTAGCCACTAGACCACTGCGGCAGGGCCATTTGGAACATGTATTAAGGATAAATTAAAAAATGCGCCAGGCTTTTCGCAAAGACAACTTGACGCAGCATACTGTAGAGAGACGTACCAATCAAGTGATTCTGGCCATTGTAGACCGACACGCCTACGGGAACTTTGACGGTGATGTCAGTTCCTGGACTGCCGAGGATTTGTGTTGACCTGTCAACAAGAAATGTGTGCAGTTATAGCGATAAGCGAAAACAAGTACCAATCCATTGAAAACAATATCAGCATCATTTGTCTCACTGTAAGGAACTATAGAGTGCTGTTTTTTGGGCGAGTTGGAAATTCATAGTTTAATATATTTGTGGTGTGACCCAGAAAAGAAAATAAAAAGAAGGAGACTGGAATAGGGCGCCAGTCTAGCAACTAATTTTTATTGAGAATCCACAGTTTCATATATGTATGCATGCTTGGCCACGTGACAATTTAAGTGCAATGACGAATTCAGGAACAGCATTTCTTTCTCTGATCTTTCTCTGAACAGCATTTCTTTCTCACTTTGTCTTCAAGAACAGCATTTCTCTCTCTGATAATGGCACCCTATCCCTTCTTCTCCTTTTTATTAGCTTGTCTGAGTTGCACCACAAATAATAATTTACTTACAATAGGCTTCTTGTTTTTTCCGTCATGCACAGTTTACTAATAGTTTATCACCTTCACTCAGTGCTTCCAAGCTTGTGGAGATGACTTTTTAAGCAAGCTACACAACAGAAAACTGCTCAGAGTCTGTGAAAATGAGCACCTTCATTGCCTAGAGTGCCCTTTATGCATACCTCAAGAGTTAGAAACTAAGGCAAACTTTAGCAACTGGTGTGCACACGAAAGAAAAGGATAGTGAGGAGCACATGCATTCGCGAAGCAGATTAGGGCCTATCTAATTCAAGTTTTCGCAACTTAACATTTTGCATTCACGCATGGTAGTGTTGACAATAGTTAAATTATAGGCATTTAGGAATCTTCTAGTCACCTTTTTGCAACCCTTCATAACATAAATCAAAGGAATGAAAGCCAGAATGCACATTTGTGTTTTGTATTGACCTGTCAACGAGAAATGTTTGCAGTTATAGCGATAGTCAGAAACAAGTTGTCCCAATCTATTGAAAACAATATCAGCATCATTTGTCATACTGTAAAGAACTATAGAGTGCTTTTGTCTTTCCCCTCTTCTTTCCCACTATGTGTTTTTCCCATCTTCTCAATTAATGTCACTGTTTAAGGAGACCAATTTGTAACCTCTGAAAATAAAATTTTTGCCAGTAATGTTTTTTCTATGGATTTACAGAACTATTTGCAACAGTTTTGCAAATTCCTGGAAATTGCATTTTGTTCACTTGCCTACAAGTAGTAGTGGTAGTTATAGACACTTTTGCAAAGCACATCAGAACAAGCATACACGTTTTATGCATGCTGCTGCCTCCCTGGAAACAAACCCTGAAGATTCATTACATTTCGGTGCCAGTATGTAGGCATTCCCCTTCCTGAAGTACTATTTTGTTCTTCTCACATTAAACTAAACTAGTAAACAAACTACATTCTGGTGCCAACCAAAAGCCCACTATGATCACGAGGTGCACTTGTGGTGGAGAACACCTAATTGAATTTCATCACCATGACTTATTTACTGCATACTAAAATTTATGTGCATCAGTTTTCTATGTGAATCAGCTCATTTAAAACAAACCAGCTTTCTTGTACACCATAAATGCTTATTAATTCACTTATTCTATGTTGCTCGCGGGGCCGTATGGCATTATAGAGGGGAGTGGTTAAGAAGAAGAAGAAAAGGCAAAAGAAAACAGATGCAGCAAAGAAATAAAATGTATAAATAAAGATTTCCAATTACGCAATTTTAGCTGGGTACAGCCATAAAATGAAATAAGATACGTGAATGTAGAATTGTAAGTTTTTTACATAGTTTCACCAATACACAAGTTTATTGAAAAGACCAGCTTTCAGTAAGAGTTACAATGTCCTGTAAAAGGCTGTTCTGACCTAATGACATACAACCCAACAAAAATAGATAAATAGACTGGGTGTCACTAAGTTTAATAGCAACCCCATGATGGTGATCAATACGTTCTGACATGTAAGGAATAGTAAGGCATGAATAGTAGGATAACGGAATGGTCAAAAGGACAACTAAGCGCCCAACTAACTTGCTGTTCTGTCCATGACCTGCTTTGATACGCTTGTCGGGATAATTTTTGACGACGTCCTTCAGCTCCATTTTTTCAATGGCTTTCAAGTAGACGTTGCCTCCACTGCCTCCGATTCCACCGTAGCGGGGGTAGCCCGTGCCGCCTGTGCCACCGTGGATGTTCAGGCGCAGGCGATCCATGAAGCGCCCCACATCTCGCAACCGTGGCCCCTTGGCAGTCTCCTGAAACACAAATATGGGCATATATAGAACACAGACAATCCCCACCACAGTATGTTGTCACAAGCATATCTATAGTAAGTCATGCAGCTTTAGAGCGATAGCCCTAACATATCATACTTTCAACAACATGTTGAAATGCAGTTACGACAGTGAGTCAGCATCACATTTTCTATTATACTAATAACCCTAATTAAAATCTCACAAACACAAACAATATATTTCATTTGGCGGCACAGCTAAATAGTTGTGTAGACGGGTCCAGTTACTTGTGTTGAGAACATAACACAAGGTATACTGCCATCCAGTATGAAAGGAAACGCGCGCGTGCGGCCTGCTCTCCATGACACTTGCCTACATTACCATCAGCCAACAGCTAAAGAAAGTGTATTCACTTTTGGCAGCAGCGCCCAGCAAGGCCAGGGCAGGAGCGTAAACTAGCAGCACTTGTCCACTTGCCGTCACTCATTATTGTGTTTGCCAATAGATAACTCCAACAGCATATGTATTTTTGTTAACTGTCACTTTACAGGTGCTGTAGGTGTGTTCCCTCGCATGTTCCCTTGCATTAAAGGACGATGGTGTACAATGCTGAGGGCAATGTGAAAATTGGTCTGAAAACATCGTTTTTTTTTCTTTTTCATTTCAGAAATGCCATTACTTACAAGCACATGCATTTTAGTAACTATAACAAAATAATGCCATCACAATGTACAAAGTAACAATGCTGCAGCTGCCAAACTGAAGAATTATGGCTCAAGTTACACTTAGAAGTTATCGAAAAGTCTTTGCACCAATCCAGTTAAGTAGTGTCCCGATTGTACTTTATAGTGTTAACCTGCCATAAGCGCATCGCTAAGCCATCGTTACAACAAAGGTAACAAGACGGCAGTAATGCGTTACTAGCAACAAACTATCTCCAAAAACTGCGTACACTTTATTTACGAGTCCAAGCAGTTCGGCACCAGTAAACATTTGCTAAACGAGAGTTTAATACAACTTTTAGATGATGAATTCGTTTATATATGTGTATTGCCACCTACTTCTAGTAGTGGGTTGTATGCCAAGGCGAAGGCTTCACACCGCAAAAAAGAAGGAAGTGCGCGTGGGCCCCGCTCTGGCAAACAAGCCTGGTTAGAGCCCTGTTGTTCAGACGTCAATAAACCTTGTCGAACACCCCTGGAGCGACGTGACGATTGGTGGAGGCGCTGGGTAGCCCCTCACGGATGTTTCAGACCACTTCTGGAAGCGGCACCACAAGCCCAGTGCGAGTCAACACTCCCGTTCATCGGACAAGCCGCAGGATCAGGGGATTGCCACCCGAAGCTGACTTTACAGTTCACATCAGTATAATGAGCACGTCCGTTCAAACCACTTTAACAGGTACGGAAAACCCCACTGTGAATGTACACCCTCGAAAGTCCACAGGTTCCGACACCGTTTCATGGTACCGTGCTCGAAGATGTCGAGGACTGGTTGGTCGACTTCGAGCACGTGGCTGCTTTGAACGAATGGAACGACGCGGCCAAACTACGTCATGTGTACTTCTATTTGGAGGATGGAGCACGTACCTGGTACATGAATCATGAGGAACAGATGACATCGTGGCCCGAATTCCGCCGCCGGCTGTTGGATACTTACAGAAGTAAGTATGCGAGCAATCCAGGCCCGCATCCAGATGCCCAATGAAACTATCATGACCTATGTGGAAGATATGACGCGCCTGTTCCGACGGGCTGATCCGAGTATGACAGAGGAAATGAAGTTGCGTCACCTGATGCGGGGAGTTAAGGAGCAGCTTTTCGCTGGCCTTGTACGGAGCCCTCCGAACACGGTCGCCGAGTTTTGTCTGAAGCCGTCACGATAGAAAAGATGCTTCAGCATCGATCCATCCTGTATGAGCGGCAAGTGAACACGTCCACTGCTCAAGTTCTCATGACTATTGGGAGCAACGGCTTAACCGAGCGACTAAATAAGACAGTCACAAACATGATCTCAATGTACATCGACGTCCAACACAAAACATGGGATCGCATTTTGCCTTATGTGACGTTCGCTTATAACACCGCCATTCAAAAAACAACCCGATTTACACCGTTTCGCCTTCTCTACGGCCGCGAAGTTCAGACGATGCTGGATGCAATGCTTCCTTGTGAAGACGCTGATCAATTAACAGCTGACGTAGAAGAATTCGCAGAGCGTGCCGAGGAAACTCGCCAGCTCGCCCGGCTACACATTGGTCAGCAGCAACAGGTCGATGCACGACGTTACAATATGCGTCACAATGACGTATCTTACAGTCCGGGAGACCAAGTTTGAGTTTGGACCTCTGTTCGTCGCCGTGGCTTCTCTGAAAAGTTGCTCAGCAGATACTTCGGTCCGTATAAAGTATTACGCCGCGTGAGTGACGTAAACTACGAAGTGGTTCCGGATGCTCCGTCGTCACGATGGGTACAACGAAGACAACCAACCTCTGACATAGTTCACGTGGTGCGCATGAAGCCTTATTTTGCGCGTTCCTTAAAGACCACTTTTTCTGTGTTTTTTTTTTTTTCATTAGTGCTCCGACAATTGCCTCATCATTGGTGAACTTATCGCATGTAACGTTTGATTATTGGTGCCATTTTTCAATGTTTAAGCTACTTTGTTTTGTTTTTCTTTTTTGCAATAACTTTACAGCATCGGGACGATGCTCTTTATTTTTTTGTTGAGGAGGAACATTGCCACCTACTTCTAGTAGTGGGTCGTATGCCAAGGCGAAGGCTCACACCACAAAAAAAGGAAGTGCGCGTGGGCCCCCGCTCTGGCAAACAAGCCCAACTGACGAGCTTGGTTAGAGCCCTGTTGCTCAGACGTCAATAACCTTGTCGACACCCCAGGAGCGACGTGACAATATGTTATATTTACGTTATTGTGTACTACGCTTCTAGTTAACAGTGCCTCTGCAATTAACCCAAGATACCCGTAGAAAGTTCAACGACTGCACCAAGCTGTAACAAACAGATTTTAGTCACTGAGCAATCTCCCTACAACCTGTTCCTTTCTGGGGAAAATAATTGACTTTTGATTGCGCGGGATCCAGTTAAAGCTAAACAAAAAGAACCTAATTCAATAACTGTTGTGTCTACACTATACACCAAACAAGAAATAGATCAGTGTTTATTACGACACTTTCTTGAGTTTGTCATACTCATGCTACTCTAACAGTTTTCAAGGGATGTGGACAGAGTACTCTACGAGCACGAATAACAAAATGTAATAGCGATTAGATTACTGACGACTATTAAACTTCACCGGCGGTTACCTGATATAGACCTTCCAATCAATGTTTAGTCTCAAAGAAGAAGTTTGTGCATGCTGGACCCAATCTGACTCTCAACGAAAACCTGCGTTTTCTTATTGCTGGCGCGCAGCAGCACAGATAGCTTCGCAAGTAGACAGATGATATTTGTGCCATAATTTTCTATAACACCACACGATAACACGATCGATGAGACAACCTTAACCTGACTCTAACGCAACTCATACGGAAAGATCAGTCCAGTTCTCGATATATGCACGCCTAGGCTGCTGGCGAAACTACAACGGCATACATCTGCGTGAAAAGACAGGGAAAGAAAAGATGCTCTTGCCGCACCTTTGCAGCGTACAAGCAGAAAGTTGTAAGCACGACCATCCTTTCAGCGTGAACAGGATTTACTTCATCACTTCAGCACGCAAACGCACAACAAACCACACGCGCACTCCGCACACTCGCGTTTACTGTGCGCTTCGGCACGACTTGGCTCGGATCGAAACCAGCCATTGATTGTTTTTTTTTTTATCAACGCGATCATGACGTACATCAGCTGGCAGTACGCATGCAGGGTATAAAAATATGGACTCTGAGATGTACAACAATAGCACAGAGGTTTTATTCAGCGCCTGCCGCTGCGTAATTACCCGTCATCAAAAACAATTTTGGTATGTTTTTTTAAATTGATAGTTGGTAATCAAGAGTTATACAACATTTCACTAATAAGGGTAAACAAGCCATGGTGAAGCTGCACGACACCGTTTCCGGCCAAGTCAACACAAGTACGGTCAAAGTTACCGAGCCATCTGTTGATTTGAAAACAAGATCTCTGCGCTTGGTAGGCAGGACTACGTCGGCGGCTTGAGGTCGTCATGGGCAGAGCATAGCTCCGTGCCAAAACCTTGATGAAGTTTCGCAACCTCGAACGACCCGTGTGTGACCATCGGATAGACCGGGTACTTATGTCGAGCAACTTCTAGCCTCCGGCTGCTCCCAGTTGTTGGAGGTCTCACACTCGGCTCCTCCGAAAGAGTTCAGGTGACTGCGCTCTTTGTGGTGTTCCGATCGGCTTGCGCTTCGCCGACTCAGCTACGCATCGTAGCCCGGTACATTTGAGCCGCGCTTTGCTGCGCGCTCGCTTTAGGTGATTGCACTTTAGCGCCGTCCATTCAACTTTGGGGCGTAGTCGCGTTGGCAGAAGCTGCGTATTATGACGCGCGTTAACTTTTGTTTCTGTTCCCATTAGCGCTCTTTCATCGCGCAGCTTAGCCGTTCCTCGCACCTAGCGTCGTTCGTGTATCCTCCTCGGTTATCTCGTTTCGAGGGGAGATGTGTTGCGATCGCATTGTGACAGATTTAGTTCGAGTAACCGGGCTCGCGTAGCCCTTTCGGAGTATTTGTACTGGATAGAATCACACTTGTCTAGATCAGTGAAGCGTGTGGATGTCGACACTGTTGTTGGCCGCGACTTCTACCTCATGTTAGCTACAAGCTTCTGTTCGGGCTTGAAGTGAAGCACGATGGCCTAGCACGCGGTATGAACGTGTTTGGTATCATTACGGCGTCGGCCTGTGTATATTTCTGCAGAAAGCGGCAACTGTGGAGCCGGCTGTGCGCGCTGGCAAGTGTGATTCTGTCTGCTGTTTGTACGGCCACGGCCGCTCGATGAAAAACTGAACGGTGCGCTTTTTGATCCAGCGGCCGTGGTACGGCATTGACAACTGTCAGCCAGAGCAGACGACTTTGTCGAACCGCTTGCCTGTGTGAGTAGCGACTTCTAGTGAGCGCGCTCTTTGGACAAGCGTTTTTAATTAACCGGTGCTCGTCTCCGGCTGACATCTCGTGCTCTCACGTAGCCTTTTACACCGATGTAGCAGGTCAGTGCGTTGTGTAAATTTTTTACCTGCTATGCTCCGGCACGGGCTGCCCCGCGCTGTTCCATTATTTGGGTCACACATTTCTTTTCCGCTTTCGTAACGTCCCGCCGAGAGAGAGGTTGTAGGGTGTCAGTGGTGCGGCGCCGTTCGTAAACAGATATGTATATAGCATCTCTCGGTTCTATCGTGCACGCAGGAAATGGACCGAGCGGAGGCCGAGGAAGCTCGCCGAGAGCGCGACCGTCTGTACGTGAGCAAGGCGGAAGCGACTTTCGCTCACGACGAAGTGCTGCCGCCGCTGCCGGTGCCGCCTCTCAGGCAGACCATCGACAAGTACCTCGACTCCGGTGAGCGCTTCAGTCTCTGTTTTTACATTTGGCTTGAATTTGACGCGAGACACGGGTGTCTGCGTTGAAGCGATTGCGCCTCCGTTTCACGACCACGCAATTAAATGCGCTTAACTTGGGGCGGTTTATTAGTTATTGAAAAGTGTCGCTCTGCCTTCATAAGTTCGGTTGAGGAACCATCTCTGCTTGGTGTTGGCGCATTGTTTCCTCTTACGAGTTTTAAAGTTCGCAGTTATTGGGAATGTATTACTGGTTTATTTCACCCGTTGTTTTCATTCGTGAGCCAATCTTTTTTGTTCTTTCTTGCGGCTGGTTGCGAGAAACACTGGCATGCGCATGGCCTTGTTGTGCTCTTTAATTCACGAGGAGAGGGCTGCTCTCGCGTGCCACCGTGAAACATGCGGGACGTTTTCGTCGTGACCGCTCGACGATTATTGCCGTTGTGTCACTTAGCGCGCGCGGAGCACGTTTCGTTTCTTTCACAGCCTGCAACAAAGCTTGTAGCGGTTTTCTTTCTTCCATTTGCCCCTTTACCTCCTAGACTTCTCCCACCCTGCGATTTGCAGGAACGAACTGCAAGGAAAAGAAGGGTGCGAAAACTGCTGCGACGGTTGCATCTCTGAAAACGTTGACAACAAAAGAAACGCAGAGCAGCAGGACAGTTCTCTAGACAAAGGCAATGAAATGCTTTCCTCGTACGAGCGTCAGCGTGTGTCACAGTGACCACTTTCAGGGTTTCCGTTTCAGCGAGGCCGCTAGTTCGGCTCCCTATATACCCGCACGGTGAAGAAGGCCAGCTTCAGTGGTCTCATTGAAGTATAGTATAAATAAATAACATTTGGGGTTTTACGTCCCCAAACCGCGATTTGATCACGTGGGATTATGTAGTGGACTCCGGAAATTTCGGCCGTCTGGTGTTCCTTAAAGCGCGCCGCACGGGACTCAATCATTTAGCGCTAACTCTATTGAAATAGGCCTGCCTCGGCCAGGATGGATCCTGCGGCCTTCGGGGTCAGCAGGACCGCTACACCACGGTGGCGGACAATATGCGAAAAAGGGTCGTTGAAGAGCCGAAAGCCGTCCTATAATGTGGAGAGCGGGCAGACGGCGGTCGATACAATTCCCATCAGCCGTCCCCGGCAGAGACTGTTTAAATGCACACCAACAAGAATCCACATGTTGTTTATTCTGATAAAGTATACCCCGAAAACCGTAGTATCGTCATTTCCACAACCGCATGTATACCAGGACATCAATGTCGAATTCCCGCCGAAGTATCATTTTGTGACGTCGTGGGACCGAAGTCAGTGTTCTTTCGTAATCGAGCCCATTGGTTTAACGAAATATCCTTAATTTTTTGTATATGTTATGTCTCTGGCTCCCTGAGAAGACAACGTACTTCATTTTGACCGATTGAAGACGACGTAGTCCGTAGCAGACGCCGTCAATATCTGGCGTTACCGCGACTGTGGTGGGAACTCGAAGTTGCATGGCGTCGCTATTGCATTTTCTTTTTGCGGGTCTTCTCGCAGCAAGAGATGATTTTCGTATAGTGAAAGACTAATTTGCTGATGTGTGAGAAATCGCCTTGTCTTTAGTGTCCTTTAAGAGCAGTAGAATGGGAAGTCGGGCTCTTCAAGTACCTTTGTCTAAGCGTCGTTCCCAGTGATATTCGTTGTCACATTCTACACTTCACCTCTTCAAAGTCTCCTCCTTCCGCTCAACTTGAGTCTTACTTGTATCAGGCAGCGTGATGCATATCGTATACTGGTGCACTATTCTGTGTTGCATACCCAAGGACGCTGCACTGTTCAGTGCTATGAGTAAATTTCGCCGAAACGCCATTGCAGCGTGAAAATGCCACATGTCGTAGTACTTTTTGTTTATTTTGCCCTCACCTAATGTCTCCCTTCCGTACTTCCAATCAGAGGAGCCTGGCGTCTTTCCAGGCCTCTGTGGTGCACTTTTCTTTTGTTATTGTTTTTTTTTCTGTATTTTGACCCGCCACGTAACGCTGTCCTTCGATAACACGCGCACGGCTACAGTTGACCTTTTTTTTTTTTTTCACGTTCTCTCGCCTGCTTCGTTTGTAGTTGCAGCAAGTGTATCGTAGTTCGCTCTGATGGGGAGTCGCGTCTTGTCGCGGCCACTCAATGAAGGCCTTTCGTGGTGGACGCATGAAAATTACGCGCGTTGCCTCACAGCGCGCTTCTGGGAAAAGAAAGCATCTGTACAATAGGGGAAGTGCTATTGCATAACGGGTGGGTGTTTTCCTGCTTCGAAATGTGCGCAATAGTATTTCCTGCATTTCATTCGTCGTTTCATCTGCATGCACGGCAATTTCCAGTCTCCATCAGAAGTTGACTAAAGAAAAAAAAATTACGGCAGCTTTCGCTTTAGGGGGGGGGGGGGGGGGGGGGGGTCAAGCCTGAAAGAGGAGGTGCGAAGCTGGACAGCCTTCTTTGATATCTTATTGTATTTATTTTTTGCTCTCTTTCGTTTTTTTTTCCTTTTCCGTTTTCTTTCTTTTTTCTCTCTCTTTCTATTCGGTCATACTCTTTTTTTTTCTTTTTTTTTCTCTTTCCATTTCGAGCTAGCTTCCCCACTTTTTGTATTTCTATACGTTACGCCAATTGACCGCAGCACGCATTAGCCCGTGCCCGTATACAGTGATGGGCACTTGGTCATCATCAAGGCGCTCGAAGAATGACAATACGAACACTTCTTCTTGGCGCAAGCGCGCGCGCAATAATAAGGCTAAAAGAGTCTATGCTATTGGTGGATCTGCCTGCGTTACGCCACGATGCAACTGCAAACGAAGACTGCACACGATAGGCCTGCCCCGCCACGGTGGTCTAGTGGCTAAGGTACTCGGCTGCTGACCCGCAGGTCGCGGGATCAAATCCCGGCTGTGGCGGCTGCATTTCCGATGGAGGCGCAAATGTTGTAGGCCCGTGTACTCAGATTTGGGGGCACGTTAAAGAACCCCAGGTGGTCTAAATTTCCGGAGCCCTCCACTACGGCGTCTCTCATAATCATATAGTGGTTTTGGGACGTTAAACCCCACAAATCAATCAATCAATCAAATCATGCACACCATAGGCCCGCGGACCCTACGCTCTGCCCCCCCCTCCTTTTTCTTTTCTCAGAATGGCAGACTGCAGCTATCAGACGGTACAAATATATGTGTGCGCTTGATATTTCCGATAAAAAAAAAAGCATATCCAGTGCTGCCATCCGCATACTCAAGGGAAGAAAAATCAACTTCTCGAGCTGCTCCATTACATGGACACCAGGCCATGAAACTGCGACAGGGAACCAGCGTGCCGACGCCATTGCCCGAGAATACGCCGACCGGGGGGCGCACAACGACGAGGAACCAGCCACAGTTACAAGACGCTATGGAGCAATTTTAGAACACCAGAGAGCCCTGAGGAGGATATACCCCCTCCCCACAAAGACCTCAACAGAGAGCAGTCGGTTGCCTGGAGACAGCTGCAGACTAATACGTACCCCAATCTCAGTCTTCTGAGTAAAATCTATGCGGGAATATACACCTAACAAATGCCCGCTATGCAGAGAATACCCCACACTTTACCATGTGACATGGGCCTGCCAACACACACAGGTAGTGCCAAGAAACTGTACTCCAACACCGGAGCAGTGGGAGGCTGCGCTGTCCTGCTCTAAGCCTGAAGAACAGCTCGAGCTGATCGACAGAGCTTGCAAGATGGCAAAGGCCACAGGGGCCCTGGACTGAGGGCTCCACCTTCACCGGAAAAAAGCTATTTGTAATAAAGTTTTGCATTCCATTCCGACAAAAAAAAAAAAAGAGCAAGCTTGATCGTAGGCAATTTTGATGAGGTTGTTCGTGTTGTGAAATATTCAGATGCTGCACCTGCCTGAACGTATTCCACGGCGTTTGAAAGTGTTCGTAAGAGAAAGCTTAGTAGGTAGAAAAACAAAAATGACCCGAAGTCGACATGTTACACTGTAAATGTCGAAAGACGACAGTCTTGCGTCTCGAGAGAGTGAACAAAAGGTTTATGTTATGTTCTGCGCAAGAAAATCGGTGTGTAATATTCTGAAGGCGCTGCGTTAGGGTGCCTAGAGCGTGTAGCGGAGGCGAACAAGCGCATCTAGGCACGTTAGACACAAGTGCCATCTGGCAGTTATCTTCTGAAACGAAGGGCGTGCGCGACCGCGGAGAAGGCGCGCGCCAGTCTCGGAGGTGATAAGGTGTGGAATGCAAAGCGACGGGCAGGTGCCACCACTGTGTCGTCATAGCAAACGTTGGTAACACTTTCTTGAGCACCGCGTCGCACTGTCAGCGCATCGCGATAAACGCTACAGTCCTTAGAGTTACTTGCGTGTACCTCTTCTAGTATAAAGGCAGACATGCAAAACATAGGCATGTTGTTATGGGGCCTCAGATGTGCGCACTATTTGCTTTTTCAATAGAAAATCGCACAACTATGAACGCTAAACCTTGAGCAATATTGGTGAGTGCTGCGGATGGGGTTGGCCGTTTATTGCCGTTTGAGGTATAGTTAGGGCGGACAAACAGACAAGTGTACAGACAGACCAAAATTTTTCCGTCGAAGGTCCCCAAGAAAGACTATCGTCTTTAAAAAAACAACAAGAACAGAAGGACGCTTGTGCTTCGCCGTTCGGAGTATATTGCGATAGCGTAATCGTGGCTTTAGCGCACCGCACCCCCTCCTGAACTCCTTACCAGCTTCGGTTGTCAACGCATGCCTCAGCTGTGCCGTACGGAAACGAACGACTGTGCGCGTAACATTGCCCGTTTTGAAGTAACATTGCCTATTGCAAACACAGTTGTCAAGTGCCCACTACGCCATAATTACGCATTTCGCTAATTAGCGAAGGGCCCACTGTGCGTCCGTAGGGTAACACGCGAACCTATGAAGCTGTTCACTTTGGATTCTGACGATGATTTAAGTATACGTCCGAGTGTTTTGTGTTGGGTGTGCCTTTAA